GTAATGACAGCTCAGCGCAAACGGCGACGCAACGCGTAAGGTCTTCAGGGTATACCAGAGGGGATTGCGGCGGGCCTATGCCCCATAACGCTACGCCGCCACCTGCCATTTACCGGACCTCCTGGAGGGAGAATCAGGAAATCTTATTCATATAGGCGTGCAAGCGTATCGCGTAAGTACACACAGCGCATTTTTTACGCCTAAATCCGATTCGATATCGGTTTGATTTCTGTACTACTGTTAAAGCACTTTCCATACGTAAGATTCTTGCAAGGCATTCCTTTATTAAGAGTTAGCAGTATCCATTTTATTTCATAAAGCAACCTGTCCGAGATTTCCGTTTATTAATAGGGTTTGATGCTCGCACTTCTCCCACTTGGATTTTTTATTCATTGGTTGTTCAATGCTAATTATTCTTACACATTTCTTAAGAAACATGCGCTGCCGTCTTTCATTCTAATAAACAGTTGTTTGTAAGCAATAAGTTTGTTCTATCTTCAGAATGAGGACTAGCCTTAGCCAGCTGAGGAAAAATCTTATTGGAAAGCACTACCTTATATCCTCGTTTCGCTACAAAAACTTGGTGGTGTTCACCGATGGATCATTGACATTCGTTTATGGCTTAGTAAATAATAATGGATATGCGGAGTACACAAAATCAGTAGTGAGTTGAACTTTTTTATGTAACTTTACCATCTCTATATTTTACATCCAAATAAGTCTAGGAGGTCACATTCTCTCCACGGCTTCCGGAAGATGTAGAAATCACGTCAATGTCTGCTACCAACGATGGATCTCTCATAGTTCTTTGTGGCTCTAACAGTCTTTTCATAGTCCGTGTATCTACTGACTTGTGGGCCTCGAAATCCGAGAACTATATACCTCTCAGCCATTACGTTTGCGAGTAAGTTTTCATTTCCCACTATTGGTATCCGTATAAGATGTTATTTAAGGCTTGAGCAAGTGCATCCAACGTTTTTTGAATCCGTGAGACCTTCCAGAGTGGTGCAAGTGAGATGGATTTTAGCTGATTCATTCAATTGTTCTATGCATTTTCTTGCTGTACTTTTCGATGACAGCCGATTAAGGTAGGTTGAGTTTTGTGTTCACTCACACTATCTTTGAAATAGAGGCATAATCGTAAAGTTGCTAATCAGTCAGTTGGTTCAAATCAGTTTGATAATTCTATGAGAACACTATGACGTTAGGTTTTCTGTTAAGATTGTATCTTGTTTTGAGTATACATGAGCATGGAAGTGTTTATATATATATTGCAATTTTGTCTTTTGTGTTTATAGCTAAGAGTGTAGTAAATTCGTTACGAGTTATGAATCGTTGGACTTAGAAGATTTGATAGATTCAGCTTTTCTATCAGGATGAGATATCATTTTTCAGAATATATCGAGCGGAGACTATTTGCGATGTGCCATGCGTTGTTATTGATTACTCCATCTTCATGTGTGCTACCGACCGATCTCATAATCTCGGTTTCAACTCTTATGGCTTTTTCAAGTCTATCGGTAAAATGTTTTCGACTCTCTACCTTTTTGAATTGAGGTTTTGTTGGCCTTATTTTAGTGTCGTTTGATTGTATCACTATGCGAGAAGAGAATCCTGTACTGTTCGCCATCGATTCTGAAGGAGAACTGTATGCCACGACGGTGAACGTTATCGGTAAGCACCCGCATCATTTTTCTCTTTTATCGTTTACAATAGTTACTATCTTTTTTTTTCTCGTTAGAATTTTACAGCATGTTCACCATTCAGGTAGTGTTCAACCTTTTACGCGACCGCTAGTGCCTCCGTCATCTTTGCCCTGTGATCCCGTGGGAATCCAGGTTGTTGAACATCCCCTGAACGATGTATGTTACTCCCAGCCTGCTCATTTGTAGTTTATTACTATTTCTGAAGCGCGTAACTCTGTTATTCCCATTGCGCATTGTGAGTAAACAATGTTATGGGAAAGATAAAGTGGTGGCGTAGCGAACTCACACTGGTCACTACTAGTAGATCTCTGTGTTATTATAAAGATTCAATTGGAAGTGACACACTACGCTTTTGCATTATGCAGCAGCATCCTGATTAGAAACATTTGACTGTACAATGTAGTTTGTATTAAAGCCAATTTAGTCTTCATTTAGCGTACGTTGTTTTCGTAATAATTAACTAAATAATTAATCAGTGGTTGGTTGATCGCATGTCTGTTTACGTTTAATCCTTGTATTAAAAATTCTGCGGACATCGGAACGAATCTTTTATAGTGGAATACATTGCCACGCAAAAAAAAAAATTTCTTTCATTCTAAATCATCTACTGACGAATGCTAGTACATTGTGGTTGTGATCCCGCCTTTGGTGCGAAAGATTTTCTAAATTTGCTATAAATGCAAGGTATACCATTATTGAGTTTTTAAACGATTTTAAACGAGTTAACTTAATGCGCTAATGCAAGTCAAATTTTCT